GAATCAGAGGATGCCTAAGCTTTGGGCTGGAGTGTTTTGGTGGATGGGGTGCCATTTCCTGAGGGGGCAAGCCTGGGGGAAGGGGCTTGGGAAGGAACAGCAGAACCTTGCTTCAGTCCGGAAGATGGGAGGTGAACAGTTGGAGAAATGAATCAGAAGGGAAGGTTGGGGCTGGAGAGAAAATCTTAGCACCTTAAGCAATAGGGAGTCTTTAAATCCATAGTTCTGGATAAGACACCCAGCAAAGCTGTTTATGTAGAAGAAAGAAATGTCTGGGCCAGGAGGAAGACCAGCATTTTGAGAGGCCAGCAACAGCAAGTGGGGAGTCAGCTGGCCTGTGCCATGGGGGACCAGGAGAGAGGGGGTAGTAGATTTAGGGGAGGAGAAGGTTTCAGGAGGTGCCTCCAATCATATCAAATGCTGCTGAGAAGTGGCAGAAAAATGGCCAGAGGTATCGGAGACTCTGGAGGTGATTTTGGCAATGTGAGTCAGTGACTGAGTGCCGTGGCTACAGGTGTGACAGCAGGAGGGAAACCCACTCTAGCAGCATCTCTTGGGAAGACTTCCTGGGGAAGCTCTTGGAAGGAAGAGAGTAGAGGGTGAGAGGTGGAGGTGTGTTTCTTCCTTTTCCTTAAACATTTTGCTACATGTACCCTCTCTCCTCGCTTCCTCAACACCCCAAGTCCTACAGTACCAACGAGTCCAATTGTGGCAGAAACTGCTAGTAGTCAACTCCAATATCTATTCTCATCCTCTTTCTTAGTAAAAGAATCACCAGTTCTTTCGCTGTGCATGTTCCCACTCAGAAGAAAGTCTATAATTCCCAGTCTCCTCTGCAGCTTGGCATGGCCATGAGACAGGGTTCCAGCCCATGATATATCAATGGAAGTGTAGAGCTTCTAGGAAATCTTAAATGGAAGGAGAATCCCTTACAGTTCCTTTCTGCTGCTGACTGGAATGTAGGTATGATGGTTGGAGCTTGAGCAGCCCTCTTGGATCATGAGACAGAAGCCATGTAGCATAGAAGGAGGTCGGAATTCTGATGACCTTGTGAATCCACCCACCCAACTCTGAGCTTCCTATGTACAGGATTTCTAATGTACAGGGCGCTAATGTACAGGATTTCCTATGTACAGGGTGCTGGGGGAGCGAACACTCCAGCTTCTCTCTCCCATCCTCTGACCTTCTGCTGGTGCCTGCATTGGCTGACCCCAATGGTAAGCCAGAGGACAGAGAGCTGAGTGATGCGGTCCAGGAGGGGTCAGCCTCTGGACGCAGAGGAAGGTTGGAGACTGGGTGCCGAGGGGCAGTTGGAGACCACTTAGCATGCCAGGTCCGCTCTCCCGAGGGTGGGCTCAGTCGGGACTGGCTCTGTTTGGGGAGCCACAGGGTCATGGGTGGTCTAGACTTCTCTTAGCCCCCATTTCCTCATCTGTAAACTCAGGGTAGGAAGCATGCCAGCTTCCTAGGACTGTTGTGAGGAGGAATAACCTGAGACTGCATCTGGGAAAATGCCTGGCATGGGGCCTGCCACACTAGCCCTCGTGCAGGGGTGGTGGGAGCTGCTTCTCCCTCTCTCCTGCCGAGCACCCCCAGGTGGGAAAGCTGCAATGACGCGCCACTGTGAGGAGATGCCCATCCTCAGGCTGGCAGTGAGCAGAGGCCTGGGAAACCTACAGAGCAGCACCTAGTAGGAGGCCAGGTGAGAGCAATAAAGAACAGCTTCCAGCAGAGGTGAGGGGACTGAGTTTTGTTTTAATATTTAAAATTTTTAACTCTGGGAATTTCTTTTTTTTTTTTCCTTTTTCCTTTTTTTGTCTTTTTTACTGACCGGTAATGGGATCGCAACCCTCGGTGTCGCGCCCGTACCAGGGACCGGCAATGGGATCGCAACCCCCGGTGTCGGGCCCGCACCGCGCTCAGCCAGTGAGTGGGAACCGGTCTCCACATGGGATCCGAACCCTT